TGAGGCTTGAAATTCCAACCATCGGCCCTCTCCTGAGGTCAGTCTACCTTGGCCTTTTTTTTAATTGAGGTGAAATTCACTTAACATAAAATTAACCATTTTAAAGTGAACAATTCAGTAATCAGTGCATTCACAATGTTGTACAACCACTACCTCTATCTAGTTCCAAAGCATTTTCATCATCCCCAAATAAATTTCCATACCCAGTTACTTCCTATTCCTCTCTCCTCCCAGCCCCTGGCAACCACCAGTCTGCTCTCTGTAGATTTATTTATCCTGAATATTTCATATAAATGGAATTATACAGTATGTGGCTTTTTGTGTCCAGTTTATTTAACTTATCATGATGTTTTTGAGGTTCTTCCACTTGTGGCATGTTTCGGTACTTCATTCCTTTTCATCACTGAATAATATTCCATTGTATGGATCTACCGCCTTTCGTCTATCCATTCATCTGTTGGTGAACATTTGAATTGTTTCCACCTTTTGGCTATTGTGAATAGTGCCACTGTGAACATTTGTGTACAAGTACTGGTTTGAGTACCTGTTTTCTTTTTTTTTTTTTCCTTTTTGTCTTTTTTCGTGTCCGGCAACAGATTGCAACCCTCAGTGTCGCGCCCGTACCGGACCGGGACCGGCAACGGGATCGCAACCCTCGGTGCTGCGCCCACACCTCACTCAGCCAGTGAGCGGGAACCGGTCTGTATGTGGGATCCGAACCCTCGGCGGGAGCGCTGCCACGCTCCCAAGTGGCGCACTGTAGCAGTGCGCCACCGGGCCGGCCCGAGTACCTATTTTCAATTCTTTTGTTTAAGTGAGGTTTTACAGTTAGCAAAGTACCCCTACATTCATGCTTTTCCCACTAAGAAGAGGTATGCATTTTAACTCTTTATTACCCCAAAACTGAACTCTTTAGGGCGCGGGAGCGCTGCCACGCTCCCAAGCGGCGCACTGTAGCAGTGCGCCACCGGGCCGGCCCGAGTACCTATTTTCAATTCTTTTGTTTAAGTGAGGTTTTACAGTTAGCAAAGTACCCCTACATTCATGCTTTTCCCACTAAGAAGAGGTATGCATTTTAACTCTTTATTACCCCAAAACTGAACTCTTTAGGGCGAAATGTGTCACCAAGAATCAGTTCAGCTGATTAAGTCTACTGGGTCTGCCCATGCCCTCTAAATTCTGATGAGGAAGAAAACGGTTTCCAGTTTGGAGGGAGTTTCTGGTGTGGGCAAGGGTCCACATCAGCGGGCTAGCTTGGGACTGTCTCCATATCTGTCACAGTTTTGTTGATCAGGCAGTGGCAAGGTGGCCACTGAACAGAAAAATATAATAAGGGATCAGAAATCTAGAATGGTTTGATCCAGGCACTGGGAGTAGGGGGCGGTGAGTGAGTAACTTTCCTGGGGGAGTTAGGAGCATCTGAATCTTAAAGATCAGAAGCATCCACAGGGTGAAACAGGATGGAGAGCATTCCAGGCCTCAGGAAGAGCATGGCCAAGCCATGGAAGCATCTCTGCTTTGAGACTAGCAAGATCATCAGCATGGCTAGTATCATAAGGTTCACAGGCTCAACTGGCAGGGAAGGAAGCTGGAGAAATTGGCAGGAACTGGCGTATGAAGTCTCTGCAGAACAGCATTTTCTTCCCTCGCCCCGCAGTGGTTCCTGGATGGATACTCTGACTGCTGCCGTGTCGTTTCCCGATCATTCACAGCGCTGCTTCGGTTCCTTCATCATCTCCCTGCCCCGGGAAGGGGGAGACCCTGCAGGATGAGGGCAAACTGCATTTACCTTTCCCAATCCCATGGCAGTGAATTTGGAAAGTTGTAGAGGCTGGCAGCATGGCAACTAGATTACCTTCATGAGAAACGTGAATTTCCATCACAAAGCACCCCTGCTCCTTGACATCTCGGTGAGGTAGCTGGCACGTGCTGGTGCCGGCCTCTGTAATAAATGGCCAGATTCCATCCGCCCTTTCACAATGTACTTTTCTTCTCCAGAGAGTGCAGTCTCGGGCACGGTCACTGCAAGTGCCCTTACACTTTTGCTGACTTGCTGTTTCATGGTTTTAATTTGCTGAGCCTGGAGTGAGGCAGGGAGACATCAATGATAAAAGAAGTGTGAGCTGGAAAAAAACACAAAGCTGATTAATGCCGGAGGGACATTTGTTCCCCTCCAGCCAAAGCCAGTAAGAAAAATGGAAAGGAACAAAAGGTGATTGTGACTATATGGTTAAAAGAAAACCTTTCTGCCACCCAGCACACACCAAAGCTTCTTCACAGCAGAAAGCCTATAAGCAGTGCAAAAAATTCTATAACCAAACCATGGGGAAGGAAGCACTACTTGTTGGCAAATCTAGCTCTTCCATGTGCTGTGTAACTTTGAACAAGTTCCTTACATTTACCCTCAGTTTTCTCATCTATAAAATGGGAATAATTACACCTTGACTTTCTTTATAAGATTGTTGTCAGGATTAAATGACTTAATATCTGTTTTATAAGTATAAGAAACTTAGCGGTGCCTGGTACAGAATAAAGGCTCATTACCAAGTCTCTTATTTATGATTAGGCTGGTTTGATTAAGAGAAGTACTGAAAAGCAGAACATAGTTACAGATCTAACGATTCAGTATAGTGTCCTGAGCTTGAATTTTCAGTTTAAATCCTAGCTCTACTGGCTTTGTGAGTTCGAGCAAGTTACTTAATTTCCCTGAACTTGAGTTCCAACCCTCTGTAAAATAAAGATGATAATCCCTCATCTGGAGCTGCTTGGAAAAAGATACCTAGCAGAGTACCCAGAACAGAGCAGCAGACACTTAATACATGTTTGTTTTCTAGTGCTGTGGTTCTTCACCACATTTAGATCACCTGCGAGTTTTTTAAAAAGCATGAAGGGCCGGCCCGGTGGCGCACTGCGCTAGTGCGCCGCTTGGGAAGCACGGAGGCGCTCCCGCCGAGGGTTCGGATCCCACATACAGACCGGTTCCTGCTCACTGGCTGAGCGAGGCGCAGGGGCAACACCAAGGGTTGCGATCCCGTTGCCGGTCCCGGTCTGGTACGGGGGCGACACTGAGGGTTGCGATCCGTTGCCGGACACGGAAAAAGACAAAAAAAAAAAAAAAGCATGAATACCTAAATCTCATCCCCAGAGATTATGATTTAATAGGTCCAAGGTGGGGCCTGGGCACTGGTAGTTTCAAAAGCTTCCTGAGGTTATTCTTATAAGTAGCCAGGGCTGAGAACTACTCCCCAGCAGATGACGTTATGTAGTGGGGTTTTTTTTGTTTTTTGTTTTTCTATATCTGTCCCCAAGAGACTGGCCAAAATAGCAGGAATTCTGGGCATACTCGAAAATTCAATATACCTGCAGTTCTAAGCCCTTGATAAGAAATGTGCAGCCAAGGAATTGCATTCCATTTTCTCTGAAAAAAAGTATTCAAAGAGTCTTTTTAAGAGTCTTGAACTGGAAAGGTGGTAAGAAGTTTAGCCTAAGCCTCACACATAAAATATGGGAACTCCCAGTAGGTCAGGGATTTATGTCTGGGGGTAATTCCAGGGTTTTGTCCTCCCAAGAGATATAAATTGAGGCCTTGAGAGTTTAACGTGGGGGAGGAAGAAGTGTTCTCATAATGACACCTTAAAAATCCAGGGCTCTGCTAATGCCTAGGGATAGAAAAGAATCATCTGTAATAGCAGGAGGGTGATATGGGGGTGTATTCTATTCTCTGTGCTTAGGTTTCCAAGCTCCAAGGCTAGGTCATCAAGAACCTTCTTTCTCTCCATAGGTTTATGGTATTAGTTACCCAATAAAAGTTGGGTTAATTTTACAACCCAAGTAAAATTTAAGCCAAAAAGGCTTCAGCATTACTCTAGGATTTATGAAAGTAAACACATGGAGTGCTTGCAGGATTGTGCACATTAAAATTTCAATGTCTTTATGTCAGGTATATGATATATTCATTTGTATGTGTACTTAAAGGTTAAGTTTTTAAGAGCTTTGCAATACAAACTATTTTTAGGACTAAACTGAAGATACTTCTCCCATCTCCACCTTCAAAATGTCTATTTTAGTGGGTGGGGAATAGAAAGCAGTAGAAAATTAGTGTCCTACCAGATATTTTTTTTTCCACTTGGTTTGCTGCTATACCGGGCTTCCTAGACTCCTACACTGAGTCCCCAATTGGGGAAGTCCAGCTCCAAAGCACTGACCACGGTTCACTTTACAAAGTGGGAGCTTAGTAAATAACTTTCTTTTAAGTGTTCTCTTTGGTAATTGTAAATACTTTAATCATAATCATATGTTATCCCTACAATTTAAAAAAGCTTTTACTTTATTTGATGGAATCATCATGACTTTCACTTACAGGGTACAGAGGTCAGTTATTATCTCCATCTTATAGATAAGTAAACTATAGCTTAGAGGGCTCAGACAGCTTGCCTAAGCATACCTGGGAAGAGAATTTTGTTCTGACTTTTGCTGTAAGGTATTTTAACTTAGAAAAAACCAAAGAGGAAAAGATGATATTTTGTTGAGATGATGTATTGATTTGCAGCCAGGTTAGCAGAGGCAGAGCACCCAGGTTAGAGGTCAGCCCAGAAACGTGGCAGGCAGCCTTTGGTTTAGCTACGGTCTGCCTTTGAGAAACAGCTGGAATTTCCATAATCCGGTGTCTTGTGCATGTTGTAGGCCCTTGGGGGAGGTTATGGCCTCTGTCCTTTCAAGTTGAACCTACCATCTGGGGTTCTAACCTCCAGCCCTAGATCTCCAGTCCTATCACTTGCCACACTGTCACTAATCATGTCATTTTCTGGTGTCCGTCTCTTCAACATAAAATCTACTTCCTTCCCCTTTTTAAAACTATTATGATTTTAAGGCAGCAAAATTTTAATAAGACTATTTTTTAAAATTTTAGGGGACCATGAAAGCAAGATTTCCATTGATATTTTCTCTAGATTTCCTCGGATTTGGTGACTCATTTTGAATTATCCAGTCCATGGTGTGCCATGGCCCTCTGCCTGGTGGAGATAAAGGGTCTTAAGCAGTGAGGAGCCACAGAGCTGGCCTGCCCTCTGGTTTCTTTCCGGCTGCACCCAGCTTCGTACCCCACGGATCCCCCCTAATTGACATGTCAGTTGGAGTGGATCATGTGGCTAATGCGCCCACGCCTTTGTAACAAATGAAGCAGAAATAATCTGTGCTTAAAAAACAAAAAAAATCTTTAGAACATGTGCCCAGATTTCCAACTCATTTCCTCTTTCCTCTTAAAACTACATCATCTTCCAGCCCACCACCAGCTGCGAAAATAAAAGCATTTTCTCCCATTTTTAAGGATGATTTTGTGCTTCACGATGATTTGCTGGGGGTGTAGGAAACTTGACCAACGTGATCAACAGATGTTTTAAGTGATGTTTTAAGAACGGAGCAAAAGCCCGATTCCTTAGCCCAGTCTTTAGGATACTGTGCCCAACTGCACCCCCTAGTGACTACTGAGGGCATCGCACAGTTAAGACTACTGTATGTATGTACAAGGGGTGTGCATCAGCTCACGTCTATGCTTTGCTTTTAGTGATGAGTATGAAGAAGACGGGTTCTGTCAGCCATACAGAGGGATTGCATGTGCAAGATTTATTGGCAACCGCACCGTCTATATGGAGTCTTTGCACATGCAAGGGGAAATAGAAAATCAGATCACAGGTAGGTAACATTGATGAAATTATATTCATCCCTTGAGTAACTATTATTCTCACCAAAAGTTTTATTGAACTCCTCTCTTGAAAGAGGATTAGGCTAGGCATGGGGGTTGGGAGCAGAACCATAAAGAAACATGAGACATGATCTCTATGCTCTGGAATTTACATTAAAATAATTTATTGAAGGTTGCTCTTAGAGGAAAAGGAAGCTTTGAGAAGTCTCACATTCATTCAAACACTCCATAAATATTATTGAGTGCTTTCAGCGTACCAGGAATTGGGCTGGGCACTGGGGATATGAATGATACGGTAAGTAAGCCAGGTATGTCTCTGCCCTCACAGAGCTTACTGTTTGGAAGCAATATGATGCAGGCTGAAAGGGCATGAATTTAGACTCTAGAATTCTGGGACACTAATCCCAGAACTATCATTACAACGACTTTGGAGAAATTGCTTAACCTCCATGAAAATCTCTTCATCTATGAAATGAGCAATGAGGCAAGATGACCATAAGTCTCTTCCTGCTCTAGCCTTCAGTATCTTACCCTTCATTTTTCTTAATCGAAAGCGTCCTTTTGATGGAAAATCTAATAGTGAAGCACTTTCTAGCACACATGAGTTAGGGTAGTGTAAGCCACCTTCTTTGGTTTTGCACACATACTCTGGTGGCTGTAGCAGCCTTGGGCCCGTTCTATTAGAGTAGTTATTATTATACCTCTGTGCAATCCATTAAAATCACTTTCATGAGATTCCAATAAGGTTGCCAGATTTAGCAAATAAAAATACAGGACACATTTGCATTTCAAATGTAACTGGCGTCTTGTAGTATCTGGCAACTCTAGGATTTAAGAGATGCAAGAACAAACCCAAGGCAGGAATATAAAGCAGCAAAAGATCCAGAACAATGATCTATAAGGAATTTGAGGGAACTGAGAGGAGGCCAAAGGAGCTATTTAACCAAGAGAAGCAACTGTAGGAAGACGTAGTTGCCACTTGCTGAAGCTGCCTTATGAGGTATAAGCTCCTTGTCAATAGAGATATTCAAAAGTAGGTTGGTGCTCTTTTGGGAAATCAATATCTTATGCAGTAAGAGATTAAGCTAAGGGACCACTAATATTCCATGATACACAGTGGAACAACTGAATTGTGCTTTTTGAAAACTTTCAAATGAGTTGCCTCATTTTCAGAAGATGGAGTAGAAAATATTCAAGCCACAAAGAAATTAAGCAAGTTAACCAAAGTCATTCAGCAACTCTTGCCATCCAGCAAAACACAAAACTAAATCCAGTGCTCAGGCTCAGCCACGGCATAAAGAAAGCTCTGTCCTGCAGCTGTCAAATGTTTTAGAAGCCTCACAAAACTAATAAAAAGTTCTGGATGAAACACAAAGTGCTATTGCTTTGTAGTAAAAAATGAAAAATATATTGTACTTTAGCCTAATTAATTCTTTTTACTAGGAAACAGTACATATGTAATTTAATCCTATTCTTTTTTAAACTTTGTAGTCAAAATGATTTTTTCAAGCCAGTGAAAGTAAGCTGGTTAGACATCTGAAACAAATCTCCTTCTCTTGGCCTTGTATGTTTCAGCACAGCAGATTCCTCCCAATATGTGTTTATATCTGATATCTGTTGTCTAGATAACTGGAGAAGATAATCCCTGGCCTCTGGGAGTTAATAATTGTGTTTGTTTTTCAGCTGCCTTCACCATGATCGGCACCTCCAGCCACTTATCCGATAAGTGTTCTCAGTTTGCCATTCCTTCCCTATGTCACTACGCCTTCCCATACTGTGACGAAACCTCATCTGTTCCAAAGCCCCGCGACTTGTGTCGTGATGAATGTGAAATCCTGGAAAATGTCCTGTGTCAAACAGAGTACATTTTTGCAAGATCGAATCCCATGATTCTGATGAGGCTGAAACTGCCCAACTGTGAAGATCTCCCCCAGCCAGAGAGCCCAGAAGCTGCAAACTGTATCCGGATTGGAATTCCCATGGCAGATCCTATCAATAAAAGTAAGTGGTAGCCCCTGACCTTCTGTGCTGCCCCGAGGGCCAGCAACCCCAGGGCACAGTGAAAACTGGACTTTGACCCACAGTAATTATTCACATTGGTAATCAAATTACCTTCCAATGGGCTAAATACCATGCCTGAGCATTCAGTAGAGAATTAGTCATAGTTGCCTTCAAGAAGCTTTATGAAGACAATAATTTTAAAATACGGGGGCTGGTTTCTCAATAACTTAAACATAGAATTGCCATATGACCCAGCAATTCCACTCCTGAGTGTATAATCAAAAGAATTGAAACAGGTGTTCAAACAAAAACTCGTATGAGAATGTTCATAACAGCACTGTTCCCAGTAGCCAAAAGACGGAAATGACTGAAATGTCCATCACTGGATGAGTGGATAAACAAATCATGGTATATCCACATAATGAAATATTATTTATCCATAAAAAGAAGTGAAATACACATACATGCCACTACCTGGATGAACTTTGAAATATTATACTAAGTGAAAGAAGCCAGACACTGTTGTACGATTCCATTTATATGAATTATCCAGAATAGACAAATCCATAGAGACAGAAAGCAGATTGGTGGTTGCTGGGTCAGGGGTAGTGGAGAGTGACTGCTTAATGGAGGTGGGGCTTCCTTTTGCGTGATTTAAATGTCCTAGAACCTAATTGTAGTAAAGATTGCACAACATTATGAATGAATAAAATGCACGAATGGTGAATTTTATGTTATGTGTATTATACCACAATTTAAAAATATATGTACATATATATACAGAGTCTGGCTTCATCCTCTATCCTCTCACCACCACCAAGCAAAAGACTATTCCTCTGTACATCTCCCTTTTATCTAGAGCTAAACTCACTGGTAAGTTTTAGTTTCCTTTTGGTAGTCAACAGTATTTTATTAGTTATCCAAATTAATGCATCTAAAATGCTTAGAATGGCACTTAGCACATAGTAAGTGCTCAATAACATCATTATTACTATTATCATTACTCCTCCAAACCCAAATTTATTTCAACTCACTGGAAATTGCAGTGTTTCCAAGTTACAGACCCTGTGGTCACCTAGGAGGGCTACTAACTTAACAGGGCCTGCTTCTCAAGGGTGCCCACTCCATCAGCACAATTCTGTTAGCCCTAACTCCTATTAGCAGCCCAGAATGTGCTGCCCCTAATAATAAACATTTTCTGGGAATAACCAACTAGATTATCACATGAAGGGTGTCTAAAGCCACCAATCAGAATGGAAGGGAAAGTTGGGCTTGAACCTTTCTTGAACCATTCACTTGGAAATTACTGTTGTGCCCCCAGGCCCTGCCCCAGTTCTGATTTCTTCTGTGTTCAATATTGAGAATAGTTGTGGGAAACTGTTTTTATTCCTGAAGCATAAGCTTTAAATCCTCCTAGGAATATAACTGGAAGGCAGGCCTTGGGACCAAGCCCAATAAGCAGGGAGACTGCCCTGCATGGCCCCTGACCAGCAGGGAAGCCTTGACCACAAGGTTAATTGCATGCCCTCTCCTGCAAAAATTGCTGGCTGGGAGCTCCAGCATCTCCCCTGTTTCTCTCTAACAGTTTGGGCTTTCTTTTTGTGTTTCTTAGATCACAAATGCTATAACAGCACGGGTGTGGACTACCGGGGAACCGTCAGTGTGACCAAATCAGGGCGCCAGTGCCAGCCATGGAATTCCCAGTACCCCCACACGCACACCTTCACCGCCCTCCGTTTCCCAGAGCTGAATGGAGGCCACTCCTACTGCCGCAATCCAGGGAATCAGAAGGAAGCTCCCTGGTGCTTTACCTTGGATGAAAACTTTAAGTCTGACCTGTGTGACATCCCAGCATGCGGTAAATAGAAGTCATTGCCCTAATGTATTCAGTCACCTTTAAAAGATTCTCACTCCACTCTCCTTCACTTAGGAGAATCCCATAAGGGGGGAAAAGGAGATTGATAATGTTTGCTTGATCTCAAACCATTTCTAGGGTAGATAAACCTTGCTATTTCTACATAAAACACCTTGTAAGGTAACCAAAACACACTCAAGAGTAAACTGCTCTTATACCTGCAGCCATTGGCTAGTGGATGTAACAGGATTCCAGCTCTCCAGAGGCACAGGTGAGACAGCTTATCACAGTCATTCCTATAGAGAAAAAAGTGACCCACAGTGTCCAAATGTACCTTTTTAGCACAACAGGTATACTGGCAGCAGAAAGAGAACTGTTTTCTGTGTGTCCTTGAGAACACCCACAAGGCAGGATGAATCTACAACCATAACTCAATCATCCAGGGCAATCTGTGAACAAACTGTGTCCTTTGTCTCACCTGTTAATACTGCAGAAAAAGTGTATAGTGTCTAGAAAGAAAATGGAATTCCTGAGTCAGTTTGTTCCTTTTTCTAGAAAATGTTTAGAGGATAGGAGAAAGAGAATGGAAATGATGGTGAAACCTGGAGTTTGGAACTAGTTTGGAGCAGATTGGTCTTCCTGATCCTCATTCTCATAGGTAATGTTGAGTGGGTTTCCCAGGCATAGTGGGAGAGTCAGGATGTCACTGCTGGAAAAGACACTGCAAGAGCTTACAGGGTAGGGGCCAAACAAGCAATGTCATAGGACACTCAAATGACACAAGTCAAGGTGAGCTGGGTCTTTAACCAAGCCTTTCACTCAACAGTAGTTTCTGGGTACCTACTACATGCCAGGTACTCACTCATCCAGCCGTGGGGATATGGCAGGGACCCTCAGGTAGAAGGAGGCCTAACACACCCAAGAAGGAGTGTCTGGCTCTGCTAAGGCCTGTAATCTTCACAGCGCCAATTGTCTAGCTCTTAATCCTGTTTGTGATGCCAATTGTAAAGCTAGGCAACCACGACTATGCCAGCTGTGGTGCTCTTTTACCTACTAGTAATCCTGCACTTACTGGGCCAATTGTCGGACTAGGGCTGGGTCTGGAGCTCACAGGCCCCTCAAGCCCGTTCACAGACTGGGGCACAAACCCTTCACACGCCAGGCTGGGTCCCCAGACCCCTTCACATAGGTCTATGAGCTAGGTAACCGGCAAACAGGTCCTTGGAGCCATAGGTTGGAAAGCATGGCTGTGCCAGGTGGATGCCCGAGGCTGACATCTGCCCGCCTGCTTCACTAAAACTCTCTCTCTCTCTCTCTCTCTCTCTCTCTCCCTCTCTCTGAAGAACACAAGAGTAGCAACAAAAACTAAAAAGATACATTGGCACCCATGCACACTAACTACACACACACACACACACACACACACAATTTGCTTACAAAGGATGCTGAACCACACCCAACTGGACCGGAGGCGAGGGCCCTGACCAAACTGTTTTATTTCCCCAACAAGGAGCAAGAAGCCATGGGTACTGCAGCAGAATAAGCAACAGGGAGAGTAGCGGGTTAGGTTAGAAAAGTAACAGGACCTAATCATGTAGCGCCTGTAGGCCATTGTAGGCCTTCAGCTTTTACCCTGAGTGGGTTGGGAAAGCAGTAGAGTGTTGTGAACAGAAGGACTTAAATTTTTAAAGGATCAATTCAGTGACTGGGCTGAGACTTGACTGTAGGAAGGACGCAAGAGCATCAGCAAGGAGGCCAGTTGGGAAGCTACTGCGGTAACATGGGGAGAGATAAGGTGGCCTTGACAGAAGGAGGAGTGGAAGAGGTAGTGAGTGACATGTGGGCAAATGCTGGATATATTTTGACACTGGAGATAATAGGGATCACTGATGGATCAGATGTGGGACACAAAAGAAGCAAGGACTCATGCATGACTCCAGAGCTTTTGGATGGGACTGCCTTTTACTGAGATGGCAACAACTGCAGCAGGAGCAAGGCTGGTAGGAGCTGGAATGTGGAATTTGTTTTTGTTCATGCTGAGTTTCAAATACCTTTTAGAAATCCACAGAGAGATACTGAGGAGGCTGTTGGATATGAGAGACGAGCTCAGGGTCAAAGCCTGGGAAGAGATACACATTTGGGTAATATCAGCATATAGATGGCATTTAAGGCCAGGAGACTTGACAGGAAGCCAGGCTTAAAAATGCGCAACCCAGCTCTGAAGTGAAAAGGAACATACCTCGTTGCGAGAGAAGGAAGTCATAGTTAAAGACAACTAGAACCGACTTTAGAGTGCGTGGTCAGTATCAGTAGCTTCTAGGCCTAATGTAACCGCTACTTGATTGAGTGGCTACTATATGCCAGATCCTATGCAAAATGCCTCGCCTCTGTCACCTCATTTAATCTTCACATCCAGCCTCTATCATCTCCATTTTATGGAGAAGGAAATTGAGATTCAGTAAGAATTAAGCAATCTTCCCAAGGAAACCCAGCTATTAGTGGCTGAATCATGTTTAGAACTTGGGCCAGCCTGATTCCCAAACCTGTTGGCCCTTTCCACTAAGCAAAACTGCCTCTTCTAAGACAAAGCAAAATAAATCTGTTTAAAAGCAGCAACAGTTAAACAATAAATATATAGTTCATAGGAGAAACAGTTTATCGCAGTAGTTAAGGGCATGGATTCTCACTTTTAAGTGCCTGGATTTGAAATGAATCTCAGTTCTTCCATGAAATAGCTGTGTGTTCTTAGCCAAGTTGTTTAATTCCTCCTAATCTCATTTTTTTCATCAGTAAAATGGAGATAATAATGATATACACCTAGGGTTTATCGTGAGAATAAATGAGTTAACTGAAAAACCCTATGATGTCTGAACACAGTAAATGTTTAATAAATATTAACTATTATTATTATATAATCAATATATAAAGAGAAATCTATTATAATTATTATGTCCTTGACATATGTAGAAGAATGCTTGCTCTCTTAGGTTAACAAATATTGTCTGAGAGCCCACTATGAAGTAGGGAGGTTAAAAGAGGAATAAAATATAATTCATTCTTTCGAGCTATGTCAATTACCATGTAGTATGTATGTATGATACAATAGAACTTAGTACAAATGTTAAGTAACGAAGAGGAGGGACAGCTAAAGCATACTTAAGAGGACTATAAGAAATGGTAGTAAAAATATTTTTAATATTTTTAAATTAGTAAATTACTATTAATTATAGTAATTAGAGCCCTTAGTGATGAAAATTTGAGAAACTGTAATTTTACAATTTCATTCTCACATGTTACCTGTTATCATAGTGTCTTTTCTTGCAAAATGGTTTTGCGGATGGTTGAACATGCTGAGTCTGAGAAAGATGAGCACACTCTTTTTGTGCTGCTGGGCTTTAAAATACCTTCATACACAGGATAAAGAACAAATTATGAAGTAAACTCTTGCAAAGCCACCATTGATAACTTCAAAGCAAATTTTTCTCTATTTTTTAAATGGTTTACACTTAACTTATGCCTTTTTGCCACATGCTATATTCAATATTAATAGGAAAGGAATAAAAACAAAATGTGGATTTATAATCATTTGCTTAGTTGTCCCCATCCCTTCTCCTAAATTTTGGCATCTTCAAGAGAGCCAAGGAAAAAAGCGGCACTTCCTGAGCAGCTTCCACACACCAGCACAGTGCTAGGGGGTTTCACATGCTTTATTTATACTCATCCTCACGCTGGGACAGGTACTGTAGTATTAACCCTATTTTTGCTGGTAAAGAAGCTGAGGCTCAAAAAACCCCAAGGTCACTCTGCTAGTAGACAGCAGGTCTGTCAGATTCCAAGGTCATCTTTTTGCTACTCTACTGTGCTGTTTCAGGATACAGATGTGTTTTTAAGGAGACCACATGAATTGTTTTAAGAAAGAAAATGCATTGTTTACTCTGGGTAAACACCACTGTCCTGTAAATGACTTTTGATCCTTAATTTCCAACTAATGCCCATCAGAAGTCAGGAGGTAATTTGCCCATCAGCTGGAAGATATGTTGATAATCTGATTTAAGGACTCAAGCTCTATAACAAATGGTTTAAGTAAAGACTATAAATTATATCTGAAAAGTATTGCTTTTCATTTCAGTGGCCTTTCTGAAGCATTCAGACCAAACACATGCTCTGAAAGATGAAGGAAACCTTTAAAAGGTCTTTTAGACTGTGTAGAAAGGGAGAGATGACTTACATCTATCTATAGAATACCTACTATGTGCCTGCATGATGCTTGGTGCTGTACATATTTATCTCCATGTAAATCTCATAACCACTTTCGTTCAGAAGGGCTAAAGGGGGCCGGCCTGGTGGCGCACTCGGTAGAGTGCGGCGCATGGGAGCGCTGTGGTGCTCCTGCCGAGGGTTCGGATCCCATATAGAGACCGGTCCGCTCACTGGTTGAGCGCGGTGCGGGCGCGACACCGAGGGTTGCAATCCTGTTACCGGTCACGAAAAAAGACAAAAAGGAAAAAAAAAAGAAGGGCTAAAGGACTTGTCTAAATCATGCAGCCAAACACTGATGGGGTTAGACCTTGAATCTTCATCTGTCTGCATACAGCTCTGCTACCAGATATTCTGCTCTCTCTCATTTAAAGGCTTTTCAGAAATAAATAGAAAAACGACAATAGGCCCAAACTCTGGATTCCACAATGCTGATTCCCATTATATGATATGACACCAAGAAATGTTCCCTTGCTGTTGAAAAAATCTATCATAGTATCACTCAGTATATTAGCATAGTATTCATCAGTACAGTGGTGCTGGAAACCCTCACAATATCAATCTGCAGAGGACACAGTTAAAATACTGAGGATTGGTTAAGTTTTATTATATGAAAGATAAATTTAGATAAAAGTAAAACGTAGAGATGACAAGGCAGTTTTCACCACTTAGAATTAAAGAAATAATAATAATCATTTCATTTTGAAAGAAAACAGTTCCTCTCGAATTCTTCAAGCCAAGCCACA